ATGGACAGGCGAATCGGCTTGGCCAGAAGCTAGATGAACCATACGAAACATGTCTGTCTGTTGCCACACAAGTTTCCTCTCATCGTCAGTCATAATCCGGATGTACAAAGTGCGTCACTGAAGTGCAAATATCTCAGATGGTACAAGGCGTAAGTTGAACACTTTATGTAACTAACATACATCTGAATGTTTGACAGTTTCATAGTTTCTCGTAAATGGATTGACTTAACTGAAATTGGAGTGTTGATGTCAGTGAACCATTTTATTTGTTATGTAGTTGATGGGACTGATTGACAGTGATCATAACGATTGATGTTCATTAGATGGTTGATATTGGGAATTGTGTTTGACACAATAGTCGGTCAGTTGGTAAATCAACGGAGAAGTGAGGAAATGATGAGTGTTATTGTTGAGTCGGTTTCCACTTTCTGTCTCAATTCCCTCCTCATCCAACCTGTATTTTGTGTATTGCTGTATACTACTACTTGTCAATATTCAGTGATCAGTTCTATTGCTAACAATTTGTAGGCGTATGGTTTAACTGCGGTGTTTATATGAATCAATGATTTCTTTGTATTGATGACTGTTTTGATTTTGAATTCCAAATGCAGGACATTCTTTCGTGCTCATCTAATACTTCCTGATTAAATTGCGTTGTTTCTGGGATTACTAGTTTATACCATAATTCAAATACTTCAAATTATCACATTGGCGTTGCGATTGAGCTTGTGATGGAACGGCTGCATATAGATTCAGATTTTAATGATTTGGTGATTACGTGGAGAGGTTCAAAATCTGGAATATGATCACGGAAGATACTGAGGATTTAAATTTTGTGGCTCACTTCCTTACATTCATCGGGAAAGAAGCATACAGCTTAATAAAGACTTTGGCATTTCCAGACAAACCGATTTCACTCCCTTAAGCAACTCTCAAGCAACCACTACTGGACCATGTAAAGTATACAAATTTCAAATGCGTTAAAGTAGAAAAATTCGATGAAATGACTCGTCAGAACATCAGGAATTCCACTACTTCACTACGTCGTCGCATCCCAATAAGTAATGAAGGTTATTCAGATAACAGTTCACGAAGATGAGCACAAGTTTAGCAAATGCTTGTTTTAGGGCAAGTTTCACTCGTTTAATTCATGTGTATTTAGTAATTCTAAATGCTTTAAATGTGGTAAAACTGGACACATTCAGTCAGTTTGTAATACCATGGTTCGTTTCGCTGAAACTTATGCTAAAATTTGCTATTGTGATCTTATTAAGTTGGATGTTCCCAGTGATCACTTATCTTTATCCAAGACTTCTAGAAGCGGTCTAACGTCACATAACAGTCCAGAGTTTAATAAAACCCTGAATCATTGTGAGAAAAAATTTATAGTCAACCAAATTCTTGTCGGATCTATCGTGTTATCGTACCAGACATGGTTCGTCGTAATAATTCACATATTTCTGATGAAATTTCTTATAACTAATATCTAATACTTTATGATTAAATTGCGTTGTTTCTGAGATTACTAGATTATTCCGCAATTCACATGCTTCAAAATTATCACAATAACGCAAGTTTATTTGTTGTGTAATATCTTAAAGCACTTACATACACTCATGACATTACCTGTTTTTACTATTACAACTACTTCGTCGAAACGCCTGTGAAAGTTATTCTCAATTTTGTATATTCCTTGGATCTTTGTTTAAGCGCGACACTTCCCAGATATGTGTACTCTTAGTTCCAATTCTGGTTGTTGATAAACTGTTGTTCACATTCGATACAATTATCAGTTGTCATTTACACTATCGTTTATTGTCATTACGCTAAGTGTTATTATTACAGGATGCCTTTCTCTTTCCAGATATACAGAGGTGTTATTCGCTCCAGATTCCTTACGAGTTGAGTTTGTGACCAATTTATGTTTGTGCTACTCAAATAGAATCACCACCCTTTAGACAAATCGTTATGTTCTTGGACTTTGGTTTCACGCCTATATCAATCGTGAAGTTGGACACTTCGAAAGAAAAAACATTGGTTTCCATCAACAAGATTCAACTCTGAACTAACTGTGTGATTTCCCATCAAAACTCAGCATTAATTTCAATCTATCTTGAGATGAAACTCAATCACATATATCACCATATCTGAACAGATTCTTCCTTCAACAATAGGTGTATCGTGTTTGAATGTCTGAGATCCACTTGCAAACACTGTCAACAAGAGGGATGTAGCTGTTCAATTTGATCTTTCATAAGCCGACGATGATTAAGAATTTCATCAATGTTAAGTTACGAATTTCAAGAAATAAAAATTCTGTTCCATGCTAACAATGAAAATATGTGTTTCACTGATAATGTCGTGTTCTAAAATGATTCAGTCTGTAACTAGGATCCCGTATAGATCTTACAGTTCACATTGTTGACAGTATTGTCAGATGGGTTCACTCGAAACGATCACTGAATTGTCGTTTCAAATGATGAACACTATTATAGTAATGTGACTAGACCTGTACACCGACCTGGATTCTGTAATTAATCTCAGAATATATATTTTTACTATAATACAGTTCACAATCAATACATATCACGTGGAGTGTGAGTATTTGATAACATGAGGTGTTGTGTCGTTAGATGTTGATTTTGTGATAGGTGTATGGTTGATTTTTCGTGTATATCTGATGAAAGTGTCCCCATTTAGCCGTTTTGAAGAAGCTATGATAACGATGAGAGTAATCCAGCTCTACATCATAAACTGAAAAATTATATATTAGAAATCAGGCATTTTCAAGGATATCTCGAATATAACTAAACCGAACCAACGGGACAACGTTCACCAACTTCACAGAACAAATGAAGACTATGTGGTGAACCCATTAAACAGTGATTCACCATTGTTTATTCAACGTTGACCACTCACAATCGTGAACTACAATAAGATACACATAATCTGTGAGAAAACATGAAAAGTATGGAGGAATGAAAGGTAAATGCACAAAAGAGCATTGGTGTTAGTTTAAGTGCGGTTTCTTTACTCATTCACATCATGGTTGTATTGGCTAATCGTTTTCCAACATGACCCTTCGTCTACTATACAAACATTCGACTCTTGATAAAATGAACGTGTCGACAATGGTTGATTGGATTAGTCTGGTTGAGACACGTGCTGTGCTCACATGGATTCTGGAGATCGAACTGTAGGTGGCTATTAATAAGTGAGAAACGATATTGATGGAATTCGATTAGACATCTAGTTGACGTGTGGACCGGCCTACATGTTTTGTGTCAGTCAGGAGAAAAAGTATTGAAATACATATGATTTAATAAACTATACACGGTTTTACCAATTGAGGCTTCTCGCAATTTGCTTAGATTTCTTACTCGAACCACTGGTTAAGCAAGGATGAATAAAGCACGAACATCTGATTCGGACGTCGTCGAAACTAACAGAAACTCCAGTGTGCAAACGTTCACCAGTTTGGTGGTAGAATATAGAGCTGTGCTGCTAGCTCGTGAGGTGATCATCTATAAGCACTAACAAACAACTGAAAAAAATGTTTGAAACACATGTCATTCGGAATAGTCAGTGAACTGAACAGAAGACTATTTCTGTGATGTCGCGTGGTCGAACAGTAACAGAAAATTGTCTGTGATCAGACACTGAACCACATTCATCACATAACGTGCATCAGAAACAGTAATACTTGATGAATTGAAGCGTAATGAAGGATGCATTCAAATTGAGAGACTTTTTGGTTTGCGTTCACAACCACTTTCACAGTTCGTTATCCCTGTGATTTTCATTGTTCATTGTCACTGCAGCACACTCTGTGGTTTCATGTTATAATTCAACGCGAATGAAGTTGTGTCTAGCTCAGGCATATCCATGAGATATCACGAGTTCACGTGATTCCTCATCAATTTTCGCTCCTAATTTATTCGAATTCATGAATGAAACCCAATGTGTAAACAATCATTTCTTTCTAGGTTTCGCACTTTTGTGTAACACGTAGTACTAGTAATCGACAGTCAGTTTCTCTTGAATGATATGCAACCAGTCTATGTGTTTATTCGTCAACATTACCAATCCCACATCATCTCCTTAACGTGTGAGTAAGGTTTCATCGTTTCTTAACTTATCTATTGCTTCACAGTGCTACTTGACAAGCGAACCATTCGTAGTGTACCTTCCTCTCAATGTCCGATTTCCCAGATAAATACCTATTTCTATCATTCGCTTACACACACACATGTAGCAACGTTTGTAGAGGATATGTTCTAAAGCGATATTCTTCCCTACTATATCTTACTAACATTATACACAAAGCTTGCATCGACTATCAAGGATAGTATGTTCTGTGATGATGATTGAGTAACGGTGATATCTACAACATCTCACGCAAATGACAAATGATTGCAGTTGAGTGACATACAATTCACCGTAATTTACAGATATTGATAACGAAGATGCCGATGTATTTCGTCTTTGATGCTCATCATCATTTTGATATTTATTAATAATTTTATAAAGTGATATAAGAATTGTCGAAGCATTGTATGTCTTATGATTTGAATAACCTGTTTATATGGTGAACGAAGAATGATTGATCTAGGAATCTTAATTTGATTATTCGATTTCGAATATGAATTAACGCGAAATACCGATATCAGGGACATCTAGACGAATGCTTATTTCTTTAGTCAACATGTTTGTAGTTCAATTAATTTGAGCAATTGTGTAAAAGTAGTTGACAAACAGAACAGTTACTCACAGTAATACTAAAACAGAACCGAGAGTATTTTGACTTCAATATGAATAAGTTGCGATAATTAGAACGGAATAGAAAATTACTGCAGACTAACTATATTTTAGCACAAATTGGATGAATTAATTACAATATCACAAATGGATGTCCTACTGGTCCGGATAGCGTATAGGATAATTTGAAGGTTGTTTTAGAGGAAATATGGTAACAACAAATTAAGTGTTCTGATAGGAACATGATTACAGGAGTCATTCATGATGTTAACAGTGTCCATGATGGTGATGTCCGTGATGATGGTGGTGGTGATGACCACAGTAATGGTGATAGCCGTGATGATGATGGTGGTAACGGTGACCGTAATGGTGATGACCGTGATGATGATGGTGGTGACGGTGACCGTAATGGTGATGACCGTGATGATGATGGTGGTGATGATGACCGTGGTGGTGATGTCCATGATGACGATGATGATGATGATGATGGTGATGTTTGTGGTGTCCATGGCATCCATGGTGGCCGTAATGGTGGCGGTAATAGCCATGAAGCAATTGTGATTGTGTGGCATTATCACCGCCAACAACCTGTAACACACTTGCATCAGTGTGATTATTTTCAGTCGGACTAAGTGTCGTATCTATATCTTCACTTCCATATCCACTCTCAGAATCCTTTGTCACATTATCCAGTTGCACTTGCTCAGTGACAGTGACGGTCGGTCCTATAACACAAGAAGACATCATGTTAGGCAAATATTGATGAATAAAGTATGTGGAAGCATAAACAAACACAATTAAGAGTAAGAAGATATTGACCTATTTGGTGGTTGGATATAGAGCTGTACTGCTAGCTCGTGAGGTGATCATCTATAAGCACTAATAAACAACTCAAAAAATGTTTGAAACACATGTCATTCGGAATAGTCAGTGAACTGAACAGAAGACTATTTCTGTGATGTCGCGTGGTCGAACAGTAACAGAAAATTGTCGGTGATCAGACACTCAACCATATGCCTCACACAACGTGCATCAGAAACAGTAATACTTGATGAATTGAAGCGTGATGAAGAATGCATCAAAGTTGAGAGACTTTTCGGTTGGTACTTACCCTCACATATCTCAACAAAACACTAACTTACCTTCACTAGGTGAGGAGACTGATAAGGTTTCGACCATTCGGTGTTCGAAGACGAACACACTCAGTAGTAGTAAGACGATGAGTCTCATTGCCATTCTGAAAGAAAGAGAATTTTCGACCTGTTAGTAGTCAGTAAATCTTTGTTGTTGAGTTCAAGTGTACTAGTCAGCGTAAATGAAGTAGAGTAGTAATAGCACCACGTAAGTCACAGAAAATTCACAACTTACTCTCCTCACTCTGAATGTTTATCTTCCACTACACGATAATGTTAGTGGGAGTTGCCAATCGAATTGTCATTTAAATACACGTGTATTTATATGGCAATGAGGTCAATGGAAAATGGGTTAAGAAAGTCACGTAATAAATCAGTCAAATCAGTCATGATAATCACTTGTGTTCTAATGACTAATGCATGTTCATACACCCACTTGAGGCACATATGTTTTCTTCCGATCGTGTGTGAACTATTCGCTTCCATTGTACTTTGTGGATTACCCAAAATCCTTGAACACGTGACTCGCGATTCCAGCTTATTTACAGGATGTGAATATATTGATCACCTTTTCATTGTTCACCAAGTTTAAGAGGAACACCACAACTATAAACTACCCTAAGTTATCCATATAGGCATGTTCCGAAAACATTAGTTTTTGCACATAAATGCAGGATTGAATTTCCTAGTGGCCCTGATTTCTAGGAACTTGACAGAACACCCTTGACAATCTTCATGCAAATCAGTTCAGATTCAGTCCTTCAGCCTATTTCAATTGTGTTTTGCAACCGGATAGGATGGTTTTCTGATCTCTGGGTTCGTCGAAGCATTTTACGCTAACTGACCATGTACACATTGATGAACATGTTTGTCAACCTCGGTTAGATTGTTTGGTTACTCTGTAGTGCCCTTGTTCGTTAATAGTTCACCTCGATTTACCGTTATAATACAAGTCTTAACGTTGCATAATATCGGAAGGCAAAGAGAAGCGGCAACGCTTGGCGCTACGAAGGTGTCGTTATTTTTTGGCTGTGGTCTATATTTTTCTTTTTTCTAGGATTCTCACTGAGCTGGATGGATTATCTTTCCTTGAAATTACGGAAGACAATTCAATTCTAATCTGTTCACGTTTAAGCTGCAAATTTTATGCTATACGATAAGATCTTAATTTTAACTTGTTGATGGTATATATGATCATATTCATACAATAACTCATGATCAAATAATTGCGTATTCATTTTGGCTATACGATATAACCTTCCTCTGTCATTCCAAAGACCGTATATAATCATATTCGGCGAGGAATATAATTTCATATTTGTATTCTATTCATTATATCGTGTTTGTATGCTACAACACACGTACTTTATGCATTTACAGGATCTATTCAGATCTCTACCTAATATCTAGAAATATATTTAATCGTGTATGACAAAGCACTGTACTCACTATTCCATATACTTTCATTAAAATCGTATTCGGATAATATAACTCACTTAATTTCCGGAATCACCTGTCCAATTCGGTCAGTCTGTCATAGGTTTATTTATTTATTTTTTATGACAGTATATTTTGTCACCACTAACACCTTCCTGCAATTCTTATCCATTGTTTTTCTACGCTTTCACCGATCCTCACGATACATCCACCCTTGTGTTAAGCATAGGTTTTGATTACTAGACTTCAGTCCTCGGCATTGATTTTTTCTTTCCTTCATCTCTATTTCCAATATTTTGTTCAATCAATGGAAAATGGGTTAAGAAAGTCACGTAATAAATCAGTCAAATCAGTCATGATAATCACTTGTGTTCTAATGTCTAATGCATGTTCATACACCCACTTGAGGCACATATGTTTTCTTCCGATCGTGTGTGAACTATTCGCTTCCATTGTACTTTGTGGATTACCCAAATTCCTTGAACACGTGACTCGCTATTCCAGCTTATTTACAGGATGTGAATATATTGATCACATTTTCATTGTTCACCAAGTTTAAGAGGAATATAGCAACCATCCTACAACCAATTCCGATTATAGTCAATTTTGGTTAAGCCCTTTTCATTAACTTACTTAACAGACATCGTCATTTGGATATTAACAATTTGCATATTCTTCGCACTGCTAAACCACTAGAGCACATGACACTATATCGGAAATGTTGTCTGCTTAAATATATTTCGATGACTCATACTCCTCCCCACATGTGTACGCACGCAAATATTATTATCAGCCTTTGTTTTGCTTTGCTGTGCCCTTATTAAATTTGACTATAAATTGCCTATGTAATTACTTGCTATTCAACTCGTTCGTTTCCTTCGCTTGTTCGCCTGTTCACTCGCTCTCCCGTTTGCCGCTCGCCTGCTCGTTGATATTCGCTCAGGTGTTGTTAGCTTTTTGACCTGAATTATTCGACAATAATCTGTAGTTGCTGCTATCCTTCGTCTTCCAATTTTACGCACCGTTAAGTTTAGAATTATAACGGTTATCGAAGTAAACGATTAACGAATCGCGGCACTACAGAATTGGATGCCTCGCCGAGCGAACACAAAACAATTTTCGACGAGATAATTTCATTTCGAAAATTCAAAGTACTCTGTTTCTATTCGAATTACTATCTGTATTATAATCATAATTGTGGATTTACTATATCACAATTTTAATCGCACGTACATTATCCCATAAACATTATTGAACTTAGCGATAATATTCATAATAAATAACGATTATTCACGAACAATTGATATATTAGTGTAATTCAGTAAGTCCGTTCTATGTTATAAATTGTGCCATTTATTGTTATCAATTTTTCATCGGTCCATTTCTCTTAGTGACAATTACGTTATATTTGCATATTATTTAATTTTTTTTAATAATGTCTCTAAATAACGACACAATCGATCTTTCACAGACACCATCCGTGGGAGCTATTAACGTTGCTATTCCCTCTTTTGATGTTAATGACCCTCAACTTTGGTTTGTTAGACTTGAAAATTATTTCGTAGCCAATCGTATCCTTTTACAGCGACATACGTTCGGCTACGCAAGCTAACTACTTCCAGACGAAGTAGCAGACAAGGTGTGAGAGGTCCTCACTAAGCCGGATGCGATAAATCCGTACGACGTATTGAAACAGGCAGTAGTGAAAGCCCTCTCATTAAATGACCGGCAAGCTGTCGAGCAATTGCTCAGTGAAGTGCAGATCGGAGATAGAACGCCTTCGCAATTAAAAACTTATATGAGCAACGTAATCGGAGACAGAAATGTTGATAAAAATATATTCTATCAGTTATGGCTACGACGACTCCCGCCGAACATGCAGCAGATCCTTGCTGTTGGAGACAGCGAGGTAGACGTAGACAACATCACTAAAATAGCCTATAAGATTTACGAGAGAATGAGACACGCGACTCCACAAACGGTCAACTCCTCAGTAGACTTGCGGACTCTTTATTAAAGCATGATGATCTTAAACTAGAACTAAAGACACTGTCACCGCTTCGACTGCTGTTGTCAAAGTATATAGTTACTTCTGAACTCGAAGACAGGATCAAAGTAGAATCCGTTATTGACTTGATAGCTAGTGAAGTCACCAAGCGAATAATCTCTAGAAATAATGTGATTATATATAATATACCGGACAAAGTTGCCATTAAAACTGTAAGAAACTAGATACTAAAGGCAGCTAATCTCCAGGACAATCCATGCCAATGTATCCGACTTAACAAAAACATCAAAAATACTCGTGCCCTATCCTGTTTAGATTTGATTCCCATTTATTAGCGGAACGTTTGAAAGAATCTGAACAGCTAGTCTGTGCGCATACGAAGTTTAAAAACGCTCGTATAGTCTCAGACAAAACCACCAGTCAAAGACTAACACAAAAGCGTACCATGAACGAAAATAACATTGTTCAGGTCACAACAAATGTGATCGCGTCAGCAGCTGAACCCACTGGTGCAGCTAATCTATCTCATGTTAGTCAGTGTATTGATGTACCAATGCAGTGTGCTAGTTTGCCTCTCATACCCATAGTGGCCCTAGATAACCAGGACATATCTGATGTAGACTCTAATGTCATTCTTTCCAGTGTAATATTGGAAGCCAATGATCAAACACCTGATTCTATCGTGAAGGCTCATAAAAACTCAGCTAAACCTAAAAAGAATATACCAATTAAGAAGAAAGTAAATAAAAAACCTCCTGGTTCTAGACCGAATACCAAAAATATTTCAACGGCCTTACCAAGCAAAAGTATAATTTCTGAAACCATGCTTAACCCTATTCATCGTAAGGGAGGTTATAAGGACACATTTCGTTCAAACGTTACACCAGACGGCCACTACAACCATCATGTAAGCAGGCCTACTATTAGACAGACGGAAATGAACCAACGTGCCGCATGGTTTCCCCCAAATGTTATAAATAATAAACCTGCAAGATGTAACTCTTATCATCACTCTAGCTGTGGGGAAGATGGTATACTAGGTTATGCACCATAAACACAACCCCAACATACAGGCACCTGTCTTAATTGTCCACCAAAACAAATACAACAAATTATTCAACCTTACCAAAATAAGGATTTTTTCGGCCTCCAGAGATCCGTTTTTCCACTAGCACTACAATTCACTCATGCTATAGCCCATGCGATCCGGCAAACACATTAAACCATATTCCAGGCATAGCTAAAACTCATACCTTCGATAAGGATGCTCTCGGTTTTTTTACACTACACACTCCCTTTTTAAACTTATTACTTATTAACGCACGTTCACTTCTGAACAAAATCTCAGCCTTGAGAACCTTAGCCTTTCTAGCCAAGCCTTCTTTTATACTTATCACTGAAACGTGGTGTTATCCAGCAGTGGCCGATTCCGAATTAAATATCCAAAACTATCGACTCCATAGCTGTGATAGAGAAACTAAGCAAGGAGGCGGTTGTCTTATATTTGCTTTGGATACCTTAACAACTAACAAAGTTGAAGATAGTATCTTGAATAGTTTACCAGAATCAATCTGGATATCAATCAATACCCTAAACCATAGTCTACTCCTAGGTTGTATATACAGAGCTCCTGATAGTACTGATAATTTGAATGATCTGATTATCAATGCATATATACACGCATCTACTCTAAACGTCAGTGCTAAGATTATCATTGGCGATTTCAATCATCCAGGGATTAACTGGAGTACCGGTAGTTATCAGTCTAGCAATGATGAATTTTTATCAATCCTTAATTTGTACTGCTGGTCACAGTGGGTTCGTACCCCAACAAGGGGTGATAATACACTTGATCTAATATTTAGTAGAGATATCATTCCCCTATCTGTACAAGTATACAACGAGTTTGGAAGCAGTGATCATAAGATAGTAGCTTGCGCTCTCCCCATCTATACCTCCTACAACCCACCAATTCAAAGAACCTGCAATTATAGAGACTATAAGCATGCAGACTGGGACCTCTTGCGCTCACTGATCAAACTGTCAGACTGGGATGAATTCTTCTCATGTAATGGTCTGACAGATGCCATCAACATATTCTATTTGATTGCTAATTCTTGTCTAGACTCCTGTGCACCAATTAAGACGTACAGGATTAGTAAACATTACGAATTATATATACCAGCTAAATATCGTAATAAACTAAGACGCCTAAAGAAACCTTATTTTATATCTAACAGCTTCAAGGCATTCACACAAATAACAATAATTTTTAACCAAATAAAAAAGAAACATAGGTTAAAAGCCATTAATGAAGAGCTATTAGCACTAAGTACTAGCTCAAAAGTGCAAAACCTAATCCACCTTTACAATAAACGTGCTAAATCAACTCAAAAGGTTGATATACCATGCATCCTGCATAATAATAGTTTTATATATGACCCAAAAACTTTAGCAAACCTTTTCAGTGGTAATTTTGCAAATGGCAAAGAATCCATAAATGGCTCTGTTTCTAGAGTTGTATGCATGACTGGTAACTCAATTAAATCTATCTCCTTCACATGTCTGAAAATTAGTAAGGTTATAAATAACCTCAAGGTTTCGAAAGGTCACGGAGCAGACGGAATTCCATCATTTCTCTACAAATATGGTGGTCCAGATATCCAACTTCTTCTCCTTAAGCTGTTTAATCTCTCTCCATGGAATCAGGCTCTTATCCTGACCGTTGGAAAACCGCGTACATCATACCACGTTACAAATCCGGAGATAAGACTTACATGAACAACTATCGGCCAATAAATATTACTCCAGTTATCTCTAGGATTATGGAAAAAATTATTAGTGACGAACTATCCAACTATTTATTGACTGAACAATTTATTGATGATTGACAACATGGATTTCTTAAAAATCGAACCTGTATGACACGTCATTTTGACTTCTTTAATTTAGTCTATTCGCTTCGTAGCCAAGGATATCTAGTATTAGTGCTATACCTGGACATTTCTAAGGCCTTCGACATGGTCAACCACCAACTTCTCATAAGTAAACTCGCATTTTATGGGGTCGAAAACCCGTTACTAGCCTGGCTTGATTCCTTCCTCAGCAATCGACATCAAATAGTTAAAATCAACTCTTCATTGTCGAACGCAGTCCCTGTTAGAAGTGGGGTAATTCAGGGTAGTGTCTTAGATCCTTTGCTCTTTTTGGTTTTCATTAATGTTATTTGACAGTGTTTTAGTGTGGCTAAGTCCCTTTTGTTTGCAGACGATCTTAAAATGGTGTACTCATTTTCTCCACATGAGCTGAGCAATATTCGAAATTGCATCAGCACGGAGCTTAACAATGTAGCACAGTGGTGCTCGAAATGGCAACTGGAGCTCAATACAGCTAAATGTGGTTGGCTATGCTTCGGTGATACATCACTCAACATCGATCTTACCATAAATGGTGAAATGTTATCTAGGTTACACACGGCAGTAGATCTAGGACTTGGGTACTCCGACGACTTGTCGTTTATTGAACACATAATGAAACAAACGTCCAAGTCTCAACGCCTTATAGGTTTCATATCTCGAAACCATCATAACAGCGAATCACGTATTCTAATGTACATAGTCTGTGTTCGACCACTCCTCGAATACTGCGC